AATGAGAGAATCAGGAAACCGAAGGGATCAGAGAAAAAATCAGCGAAGGAGGCTGCTGTTTTAATAAATTCACACGCACGTCGGCTCGGGACTTTGGTTTTCCGAAATAATGAAGATGAGGGAAGAATCGACTGTTTACTGAACGGTGCATATACCACTAGGTGCAACGTAGCAAGAACTGAAATGCGAACACTGTGCATGTTTGGTGAAATATTTAAAGTATCACTGGACTCCGTCCCCGTTCGAGATCAACTTGGATATTAGGATAGTACAGTTGGGGAGTTATAGCTCATAACGGAGGATTAGTTGGGTGCTACCCACTGACATTCTTTGAACGCGCTGTCCAACTTGAAAGTGCCGAATTTTGTTGCTGCGAAGAAAGGAATCTCGGACAATCGTTCTGGCCTTAATGTTAATGAGAAACACACATCTCAAACGCCTCACGCCAGTCCCTTCCGAATCAGTCAGAGCCTTATGCAATTTGCGTTGACTACTGTTCCTTATTATTGTTGTGTTCACAAAGGCAATGTAATTTTGCTTTCTGGCATTATCCTTGGGCCACGTGCAAAAAAGGATGTGTTTGCTTTGTTTTTCGTGCAAATTGTTTTCTTAGACATACACCACACGCTGCGTTCTGCGTCCTGGACAATTGTCCACCCGAAAATCATATGCATATCAGTCACACAATGGAGACCAGAGACACAGTTTAACTACTGTTCGCCGCTGCTGGAGGCAACATCACCACAACTGGCTTTTGCAATGAGGTTGGTATCTCCTCTTCAGCGGAAAGAGCTTCAAAGTAGCCGCAATATTTGTGCAGTGGAAAAGAGTTTTCAGCGGAGTAATGCAAGTCGGCTGTCACGAACGCAGTCATAACATTTCATTGCCTTAATTTCTTATGCAAATATCCTGTGGCAGCGCTGCGAATTTATTAATTTCTCGCGCCAAATGACTTCAAAATCTTGGAATTCCGAATAAGGTCGATGGTTTCTATTCTGCACTGCGAGTAATAGTGGCGACCGTTTGCAAACTTTTATAATGAAACTCAAGGAAGTTAGTTCCAGAATGCTTATACTCAAATTTAATTATGTCTAAAATCGAGTAGATTAAAATATTTTCACCAAGTGTATTTCGCTACTGGTCAACTCGAATGGTATCTCCCGAAATTCTTTTTAGCATCCGAAAAATATATCCCGCGCCTCTGCCTGTGTCTGTGTATAATTAAAAGTTCAAAAAAGCGACAGTGTTCATTTTTTTCATCATAAATTTAAAAAAGACTGCCATGTTGGCGCTGGACGCGCGCGTCTCCCATTTGAAGTAACCGCGGCGGCAATGACAACGAGTTCGAGGATGTGGGACCACGGATATGGGAAACAACGATGTGGACTGGACCACATTTAATTGGCATCAGCTGCAACCAGTTTTTGCTGTTTTGCAGCTTATATACCTTTTTTATATTTTACTTGGGTGATGCCCAGGTTTTTTGATTTTTTGAGTAATTTTCAAATCAAACCAAGGTCTCTTATCTTCCCTTTGCGTCGCTGCCTTTAGGCGTGCGCGTGCGCAGTGGCAATTTGATGAAATTAATATGAAATCAAAAGTGAATACAAACAAAAACTCGGGCGGTGAAATCCATATTTTCTCTGTGCGAACTGAAATGGGAATAGTTATCAAGATCGTCGGTTTGGTAATTTCTAGTAAACTATTTTATTTTAATCAAATTTAAATACAATTAAAAGTTTTTCAATATATATTTTAAAAATAATTCTTTGTAAAACATGTAATATAGTTTGTTATTTGTTAAGAGTTTTTACTAGTTTAAAACTTAGTAAGTTGAACTGGGCAGTGTTCTTTTTATCGCAACCAATTAGCCCAGTCACGCAGTGAATGCAATCCGAATGCATTTAAATATATAAGCCATATTTTCAACAGCAAAATACCACGGAACTTCGTCAAGTTGCCCAGGTCCTGAAATTCCTCTCCAGCCTGTAGTTATATACGTTCTGGGTTCTGTTTTGATCCAATTAAATGTCGTAAATTCCATTATAAAATGTTCTGATGGTCTATGGAGACTTCTGACTTATAAAAGACTTAGTATCTTTTCAGAAAAGAAACATACCAAAAAGAAGTCTGTATACTTGAAAGTTAAAGCAAGTAAAAATACAAAAATTGTACGGTTTTTGCTTGTTTTCAGTTTAGAAAGAATTTCTCCACAATTTTCCTATCCACAATATTAATCAAATTTTATAGGTTTTTGGGACTTATTTCCGCACAAAAGAACAATTTTCTTGATTTTATTTTAAATGGTGCACTTTAAGGGACCACAACGCATTATTATCATTTCAGCTGCATTGTCAAATATAATCAGCTTAACTAATGAAAACTTTTGAATTGGATTTCTGATCCTTTAATTCGAACGCACGCAAGAGGATCCCTTTTAAGAAATCGAATTTTGAAGGCGTTTTTAATTGCGTAGGCTGGGAAAATGAACATTTCTTTAGTTGGGCGGGGAAACTGGAAACCGGGAAAACTGTAACAATGGCAAGTGCACCTTTGTGTAAGAAATGGAGGAGCGGCCAGTTTTTATTTTCGTATACGTATTCGGCTGTGCACTTGTTCTTAGCAAGAAGTTATATGGCAGAACCTTTATGGTACACTTGTACACGCAAGTTATTGTCGGCTCATTTTATCTTGGCTATAATGCCAAGTGCAATCAGTCCATTTTTTGGTGCTAATAATTATAATTCCTTTGCGCTTTAAGGGAGAACGCTCTTGTTTAACATTCGTTTATTTTTTGGTATTGAGAAATCTTGCCAAATTTTAGGTCGAACATAAATTACATTATTTCCTGTCAGCATCTGTGAGTCAAAAACATGCGTTCATGTTAAACAAATAACTCACTTGTTGCTCCCTGGAAATTATTTTTGAGACATCAGTCAGTATCTGACTGTCTCTTAAACCATGCTTTTGTTGTAAGTAGAATATCCTTAATAAATCATAAATTTATTCGACCAGCGTTGCATGTAAAGAGTGCCTTTTATCGAACATACAAAATAAAGAGTAAAACCCAGCATTGTGGATGGTTTCGACCAAAGGTTTCTCTATATTTGACACTTAGAAATTGGCCTTGTGACTCTAAAAATGTATGTCAAAAAATAAGTTCGGCATTTTAAAAGTGGGTCTAAACCCGCATATAGAAACCCGTTTCTTCTCAAGACCATAATAAAACATTCTCCTCCAAGGCTATTCAAGTATTACAGAACACACTCGTATGCAATATACCCATTGAAGCCCCAATATAGGGTACATATACATGGCCAAAACAACGAAGGGTCTTTTAAAAGGACCCCGGGACGATCTGGAGCAATCTGCTACATATTTCTGCATATATTTCTGGGATCGATCGCCCTTTCGGAGCCATGTCAAACGTATTATTAACTTCACACAAAAAGCGTTCGATTTTGCACCGTTTGCTGTCGCAAAGACATTGTGTCGTATGTCGCCCATTGAGACCGCCAATGGAGGAAAGAGAGCCCCCTTCAGCCTTTTCCCTTTTTATAGCCGTGGCTCGTAGAGTTCAAGGGTATGCAATTTTTGTTGGGAAGAATGTAACAGGTAGACGAACTCTTAAGGTATTGCTTAAAAAAATGATTATTTCGAAAGCCCGTAGCGTATAGTTGATAAGTGCATTTCCAGTATATCAGTACATGCACTGCTTTATATCACTTTGCTGGTTGTACTAAAGGTTGTACAAATACATATATATCACATCTTTACATTAAAACTGTAAAGTGCTAACAGGTATCCGATAGCCGGGGCATTTAGGTATAGCTTTCGTTCTTGGTTTCCAGCTTTTCAAGCCAGCTTTGATATGTGCAATGCAAAAACAAGAAAGGCCGGAAATAATAATTCGATACATGTGCCACGAAAAGGGCTTACGGTCATTAAAAAGTATACATTTCACGTTGTGTATACGTTTATACGTTGTGTCAAAAGTTTACTATTCATAATTAGTAGACAAAAACTATGTAAACAAATTATAACTGTCTGTCCGTGTTTTATCGTTGCTAACGAATAGACTGATGTGCAATATCATAGAAGAAGTCTATAAGAAAGTCCAATGAACCATGAATGTCGTTTGGTGTTGGTTTTGTTTTTAGAGCATATGTATCTTACGTGAGTTTTATCTGCAGCAACTTCATCGCGGCGGCTTCCGGTGCAGAAGGCCTGAGCTGATCTCATTTTCTCTTTCTCAACGTTGTCGGGGGCGATCTGAACAATTGCCGACCGGTGTTTTTCTCTTGTTTCGGCTGCATTGCGGGAATAACTCAAAATTAGTTCATTCATCGATCGATCGATCGCTTTGGAATTGTGAATACGCAGGGTCTGATTACCTTGGCCGGTCCATATGCAAAAATGCAGCAGGTAAATATCTTGGCTTTTTTCACCCTACTCAATCCAGCTTTATTTATGCAAATCGGCGGTTTTCGATCTAAAGTGCTTACAAAATGTTATTGTAAACTTCAGTGATCGGAGATCTTGTAAATACTTAATGGTTACAGTTTCGGCGACTTTTTTTCGGGCTTTACCACGAGTAAAAGATAAACTAGGTTCGTTTAAAAGAATGTAACAGGTAGAAGCGATTCCTGCGGTTAGGGTATATACATTCTTGACAGGATCAAGTTTGCATCAAAACGCTATTGGTGTTTATTCTTTAAAACTGGGTAGAATGTAACTATTTTTTTTTAACCTAAATTGGTTTCATTTTAATTACTCTTCCATAATAAAAAATCATTAAAATGTTAAATTTATCAGTTTAATGTCCTCCGTGTATGTTAAAAAAAAAGATTTCTTAAATGTAAATTGTCTTCCATTTAGAAACTAGTCTTAGAAACTATATAAAACCTTAATCACTTATTTATAAGGCAAAAAGGTAGTTCTAGGGAGTATAAATACTTTGTGGCTGAGGTAATACTTGTTGGCCAATCAATGGTTCGATGTGTGTGATGGTTGGGTGCGACTAGCAATTGCTGAAGATTTTGTATCTGTGGTTTTTCACAGGTCGTCCTGCCAGAGTGAAATATAGTCAAGGATGTCCTCGTCTTCGGTACCAGAACTGCAGGAATTGTTACGGTAGTCTTCATAACTGGCTTCCAACTTGGTATGGAAATTGGTGGGAGGTGTTGCTCCTGGAATCGTCGATGTTTCTGGCTGGCAATAAGAGCTGGTGCTGTTGCAGGAACTTATGCTGCCAGTGGGGGACTGCAACTGCAACTGCTGCTGCCAGGCGTAAAAGTTTTGATGCTGTTGCTGCTGCTGAAAGTGCAGATGTTGCTGCTGCAAGTGCAACTGTTTCTGCTTCTGCTGGTCGTTTTCATGAAGAACTTTCTGCAAGCGCCGTATGTACTCTACTGCCATTTTCAGTGTGCTAACTTTGCTCAGTTTTTTATTGGCACCGGGACCAATTCCCCGGCGACCGTTGCTCAAATCCGCAATTACGGCCGCGGGAATGTGTTGTCGTAGTTGGCTGAAGCCATTGTTGACCTGCTTTACGCGGTTGCGTTCCCGGGCATTTCGCCGGATAACAGAGGGCCCATTAACGGCAGAAGATGATTCCTCGTCGTCGTTGAAAAGAGACTGATTTTCGCTGCCCAAAGCCATTTCTAGAGATGGAATAACGTTATTGTGTGACGATGGTCCTTGCTTCAGCGCTGGCTCCGTTCTGATGCCCTTCCCCGTGCCGTTCAGGCTATTTATAGGTATCAGGGCCTAGGGATCCCACCTGCGTTACTACCTACCTGCCCCTCGAAAAGGTGCAACAGCATCACCACTGCAGGATCGTCTCTCGAGCTGAGTGCTTTCTCGGATTTTAATAGAGAGGCAGTAATATAATCTCTCGTTCTCTCTGCAAAACGCAGCTGTTGCTGGCCCGAGTGTTCCCGTCGTCGAGTGGGAAGAGTTTTTGAGTGTTTTTGCTCATTTTCAGCTGCCTGTCGTCTCCAAACCAAAACCTGGCCCTGTCGCGTGCCGGCTGCCAACCGGTTTAAAAAGGCAACAAGGTCCAGACATCAGACCCCAGTAAAAACACCTCTGCAGTAAAGGAGCTGTAGGTCCTATTGAAAGTGGCCATGCAATTTGTATAACTAATATTTGAGCTACATAATAATATTTGAGCTAAGTAAAATAATACAACAAAATAAGTAGAATAGAGTAGAATACTATAAAAATGGCAACTCTTAAAAAATACACAATTCAAAAATATGCTTTAGTGCTCATGAAAAAATGTACTTAAATCACCAAAGCTAGCTATATAAGTAAATTTAAAAAATCTTTAAATTTATTTTCCCTTAACCGATGACCTTCCGATCCCTGGAGGCATTTGGACATTATCTTAAATTAGACCTATGGTCACTAGAATCCAAAATCGTAAGACTTTTCAAGGCCACCCCGTCAACACCTCAAGCGGCGATCCATTCGGTCCTGCAACGAAACCTGATCAGCCGGAGGCACTTTTCTATTAACACTTCTAATGCCCCGGGGCCTTTATGCCCAACGTATCAGTTGTAGTTCCTCTCAGCCGAAAGCATTTCGAAAGCATTTAGGGGTCCCCAGCATTTCTTAAAACCATTGTCAGGACTCTGGTTGCACGCTAGGAAACCGTGCCGAAATAGATTTGTATTGGCACCAACTCACACTGAGCCTCGTTTAACACTTCGTTGCTGTAGCCGCGGGGGATTGCATAGTATTACATCTGAAAAGGACATCGCAGGGCATCTAAGCACAGGACACTGAGTTTGAAACAGATGTCCAGAGGCTAATAAAATCAAACATATCCGGTCGACCTTGCAAAATCCGTGTTGATGCAATATAAATTTGCAGCGGCTCGTTGAGACAAGAAATTCAGTGTCAACCAGGGTTTTGAATTGCGATATGTTGCGATGTAATCAACCACTACTATTATCTTACATTTTTATAAATTAAGTTGATATGTGGGCTTAAACATTTTCATTTGGGACTTGCAATTGTATTATTATTTTTTTCTTTTTAGTTCGCTTAGCGCCACAAGTAAATTTAAAATTAATTAAAAATCGTCTGCTTTTCTGTCTGCCGACTACCGACTACCGACTGACTAGTTAAATAAATGCTACTAGGACCCTGCGACAGCAAACCGAAAAATCGTGGCGGAATAAGCTTAAGAAAGGCAGAACTGGGATCCGAATATATGGCCTTTCAACCGAATACAGATGAAGTCGTCATTAATATTGACTTGGGCTGTCAATTACTTGACATCGTTTCATTTATTCCACACTTCTTAAGAGGTGTGGAATATGCTTACGACACAGTAAGGCCTCGATTACAGGACACCTTCCGTACAATTCCGTGCCAATGTCGATTTATAGAAATTTACTAAACCTGTACGATTTTTTTTTCTAATAGAATGTTTGTGTTTTAGTTTTTTTACAAAGTTTGTATTTTAGTTTCTTACGACCTTTAAATTGGTGTTCCTAAGCCTAGATGTCATTGAATTAAATTTTGCTTTTGAATGATGCAAAAGTCAACTGTCAATTGTTCATGGCCAACAAATTGCCGCCTGATCACCGATCTCTGGACGATGAAAGGACGAAAGCCGCTCATGGTTTTGGTTTTGAGTCCCCCAACTTCCCACTCCAAATAAACATCTGATTTATGGGAGCAGTGCGAATATGTCAACGAAACGATGCCACATCTAAGGTGAGCGTTTTAACGCCGCCAATTCTATTTGGTCGATTTCTTATATCGCCAACTGGCAATAATATTTATGGCCAGGAGCAGAAGCCAAGCTCCTTTTGAAATACAACGAAGAAAGATGGCGATTTTTGATTAATTGTAGTGCGAGAGCTTTGATTAATTGCTGGAGGCAAGCGGCTCCAATATAACAATTTGTTTTGGCGTTGCATTAAATCAGAAAGGAAGAAGTTTCTGGCATCATCACGGCGAGATATTGTAAGACCAACACCTTGATAGCCTTTGCTGCCGTATTTATGAGTTGGCTTAAAATTTATGAATGGTCCATGGTTTTGGCCTCGAACATCAAGAGCAGCGAAACACTGAGAAAAATATATGTTCCGATAATTATATGTACATTGTTCAAAAAAGCACATTTAAGTGTGAAAATTTGTAATTCATATTTTATTATTCCTAACTTTCCTAACATTCGCTTTCTTCGGAACTTTATGTTTGTTAAAACGATTTTTTTCTTTTAACAATAACCGGTACACAAATTATGAAAAAGAAAATGGTACCAGTTTTTGTGTTTTCCGGCAGAGCTCTTAGCAATTTACATGTCTTATGGAATCAAGAGCGTTTCGCATATTGCGCACCAGCCAACAAAACCAATCAACGCGTCTGTCAAACCTGGAAGCGGTTGCTTATCGGTAGCCGCGCTGAAATCAGCTTCTGGCACTCACGATCGCAGAAAGCCCGCCAGTCGACAGTTATACCAAAATCCCCTTTCCCCACGGGAGTACTGAAACCAAGTGCACCTTCAACTGGAGATCGACCCTTTAGCAATCCGTGCTCGTTGCTCCTGTCACAATTACAACAGCAAGTGCGGAGAACTAATGACAACTACAGTAGCAATTGCTCTGCACTGTGGCAAAAAATCCAAATAATTTCTATGCGGCAATTCAAATTTTCTTAACTATTCACTTTTTTATATCACAATGTAAGTAATTGAACTCTAATGTGGAAAATTATATTATTTAATAAAGTTCCCAAGCTCCCAACGTTCATAGGAACATGACTGACATGACATCGACCCGACTATAAAAATGTATTTTGTTTACAATACTAACAAGTATTAAGTATTTCTATCATTATTTCTAAAGGAGGTTATAAAAACCATCCGCGCCAAACTGGTGATCCCTTCATTTAAGTCGCATTTTCACACATCCTTGAGTCACTATGCAAGTTGACACGGAAACCTGATATTGCACACACGCGCCTCGTGGCCAGACTCGTAAGTTGAGGTCTTGAGGTCTGGTGATGTGGATATACTGGGTTTTGGAAGCCTGTCGCCGAGGCTCGCGACTCTTTTTACCTTTTGGCATGTGCGTGCAGTGCAATTAACTTTTGTAGTAAGTCAGCCGAAGCAACACTTGACATTGACTTGGCTGAAAAAAAAAAAAAATAAAGAAACAGATGTAGAGATCGGGATTTAAAAGCATGGACTTGGGGCGACAATTTCACCTGTTGCCTTTTGCCGCTGACACAGTAACTTATATTATTTGCATGCGTAAAACAGGTTTATACATATAAAAGTTAAACTTCTTGTTTTGTCTACTTCGTATGTACAGAATGGTTTAGTTTTAGTTTTTAGAAGTGGGCGTGGACAATTAAGGTCAGAGTTCATGCTCCAGTTTAAGTGGCCGCACGCTGCGAACACAAAATTGGATTATTTAGAACTATTGGTTGGAGAAAAACAGGGAAAACAGGGAGGCGTTTACCCATGTCTGCAAATTTAATGTGGGTATGTGGGTAACTTTTACAGTATTTCCACCTGAACTCTTGAAATCTTTTACCTACCTTAAAATTGCATGTAGGTCAATTAACTCTAAGCAATTACAATTGTATTTCCACATTCAGGCTTCATTTCAGTGGCGCACCTACTTCAGCACATCGTTAGAGTGCAGACCTTGATCATTTTTCGGTGGTTTATTTATACACATTTATCATTATCATTACACATGATGTGAAAAAGTGTATACTAGTTTCGTTAAATAGGTAAATAGATCAATGTAATCTGCACCATTTCTTCATAAGAGCCGTTCGCAAATGGATCAAGCTTCCTAATAACATCAAACTTATTAAAAGTACTGCCCAATAAAACTATTAGTGTTCATTTAGAGATTACAAAACAGTAACAGAATTACTTATAGAAACATATTTCGTCTTATTACGCACCTGTACCTTTAATCGTTCATTTTCTGTTTTCTGGAAAGTTGAGATGAGGCATTTTGATTCTGGTGTGGACTGCAATGTGCAAATTGGTTCAAAAGCATTGCGACGACTACTTGCTACTCTGCCAGCAATAAATCTTAGAAACAGTCGCTCTCCTACTGGCATTTCTCCCTCGCACTTCTTTATCTGAGTAACGGGTATATAGTAGTCGAGACACTCAACAATATCATTTTCATTTCCTTTTTTCGACTCAGTTGGTTGGCTTATATATTTTTTGCTTTTGCGGAATGGGCCGATTGCGTGTGCCTCGTGTGCTGCAGGTCTTAACTGATTCTCATTGATTAATTGCCATCATTAGCATACGGCAACGACGGCATGATTGATATGGATATGGGCAAGTACGCGTAAGTATATAGTATGTATACATATATATATATAAATATATGTATTTATACATATATGTACTATATATGGGTGGACCACCGGCAAAGTTTCACCTCAACAAAGTGGAATATGGAGCTCTCAATGGTACGCATCACCTTTAAAGGCAAGTGGCTCTGAGTTTTTGGGATAGAGACTTCCGAAGGGCGCTAATTGTTAACAAAATGTTGCTGAAAAGGGAAAAGAGGGACAAGAAGCTCACAATCAACCTCCAGTAACGGCGACTATCTCCCTCATTTTGATGTTTCCCATTTACTTCAACGGTGCACGCAAACTTCCCGTAACTAAAAGTGCATATAAAGTCTTACAACCTCATGCACGTCAAATCGGAAACCCTTTTCCAGATTCACGTATACACAAGA